AGAATCCTGCAGGCCCTGTGGCAGTGGCCAATAAATAAATAAATAAATAAATAAATAAATAAATAAATCTTTCTAGTATGCCTTCTTTTCTGTTCTTGTATCTAAATAAATAAATAAATGATCTTTCTAGTATGCTTTCTTTTCTGTTCTTGTATCTGTGGAATATTGAAGACGTGCAATTTTATTTCTCAGTCTGTGACTTGGCATTGGGGAAATCCTTTTGGTTTTATTTCCATGTTTTTTATCATTAGCAATTGTGTCCCTAATTTGTGACTGATTTTTATGTGACCTTTGTTTCAAAAAATGTTTTCCAAATTGAATGTATGACATTTGTGAGAGAAACTGTGCAAAAATCATAAGCTTGAATGGCTCTTCCCCACACTGCCAATAAAAGAGACCCAACATGTTCTTGATGTGACAATTATTTGCCCATTGTGATCACAAATCTCCGTGGGCTTTGGGACCATATTTTGATTATGCCTCCATTGAGCAATTTTATGAATTTTTGTTGGACTTCAAAAGATAAAAATTTATAAAATTCAATAGGATATAAATTATGCTTTCAAAATGTATGACCTAATTTAAATATAACTTCATTTAAAACAAATTATTACCTGAATATTAGCAATATTTTCTATTCCTGCTAAAATCACCATGGCAAGTGGGTTTGAAATGTAACTCACTTGTCACTCAAGACAATTACTGCTTATGTTTTTATGAATGAGGGTCTTAAGATATCAAGGGAAAAAAATTAAGATTTTTCCGTAGTATTGGTATTGCCCCAGAGGAGACTCTTCACTTGGTAGGTGGACCAAATCAGTGATACTACTGTTCATTAATAGTCATGATATCCCACAGAAAGAAGACGTGTCTTTCTGGGTGTGTGAAAGACACACACTCTCTCCTCCCACCCCAACATATCCAACATATGCACACTCTCCAGCACACGCAGCCTTGCCCCACATGTTGTTTTTTTTGAGTAATTCATTTTGTTTCTTGTTTTGAAATATTTTCAGACTTACACAGAAATTGTAAGTCCCTTCACCCAGAGACTCCATTCAAATTTTGCTAATTTTCCCAATAATGTCTTTAATAGCAAAAGAATCCAGTCCTGGAACATGCTTTGCATTTAGATGTGTCATGTGAGTATCCATCAAACCAGAATAAATCCTTCTTTGACCTTCATGAGCTTGGCTTTTTTGAAGAGTACAGGCCTGTGATTTTCTAGAATGTTCCTGAATTGATTTGTCAGATGCTTCCTCATGATTGGATTTAGGGTCTTCATTTTTTCGCTGCGGTATCATAGCAGTGATGCTGTGTTCTCATTGAATCTCATAAGGTGGTGAGTGACATCAGTTTGTCATGTCCTTGGTGATATTAACTTTGATCACTTGAGTAAGGTGGGATTTGCCAGGTTTCTTTAGTGTGAAGTTACTATTTTTTCTTTATGACTAATATGTGTTTTGTGGGAAAAGACTTTGAGCCTGTGTAAATGTTTATTTCTCATCTAAATTTCATACACTAGTTTTAGTATCTGTTTTTGCTTCTTGCCTGAATTAATTATGACTTAAAATGATTGCCAAATGGTGATTTCTAATTCAGCTATTCCTTCTACATTTATAGGTTAGCATTCTGAATGAAAGGCATTCCCTTCTCCCCACTTATTTATTCACTCGCTTATTTATATCTCTGTGGGCTCATGTATTCCTGTTTCATTTGATGAGATGTAATGGGCCTCTATCACTATTTGTTTGATAATCAAATGTTCTCAGAATTGGCTAGCAGAAGCCCCATGATCTGGCTTCTGAAATGCCCACAGTATTCTCTGAGCACGTCTGTACTTTTTTGGTATAACATGATGTTCCAGATTCATGTGGTACTTTCTGTCCCAGCCTGGACTCAACTATTTCTTAGAGATGTCCTAATTCCTGGTATTTAGAAGCCAAGATCTGGACACTTGGTGTCCTCCATGCTACTGGGGTGTTGTTGCTCCCAGACCCTCTCAGGAAGCAGAGCCAGAAAATATATCTAGGTACATACACGCACAAAGGTATATTTTAAAACAAACATATACTTTCACTTCTATATTCATTCATTTATCTATCTAAAGCCATAAATTCACACTGATATATTCAGTTCTAAAAAAAACACCATAAAGTTCATTCTAGCTTTCCCCCTTTTCAGATTTGTAACTCCCTTTTCAGGCAGTGAAGAACTTGACTCCAATTAACCTCAATATATGTATTTATTTGAATAGTCTAGCTATAAGTACCAGTCTCCTGACTCTTAGCCCCTTACTTCATGCAGGCCCCCATCATCCATTTTTGCTGCCATAGTAGCTGAACCATTGGCCTTTGGTATAGTTTCTCCATGTTTGTTAGTTCATTTTCCTTCTGTTTATCTGTCTGTCTTTACCTACACACACACACACACACACACACACACACACACACAAACACAAACAAACACACATGTATACATATAAAACACTCGCAATTTAATGGGTAGGGTAAGGAGGGAAGTGCTGTTTTACTCCATGGGTATAATCATAAGCTGATCTGATAGGAATTAAATGGACTATATCTCCAACTAGTGAACAAGTTAAAAGGTTGTAGTGATAGAAACAACTATTATTCATTGCTTTCAGGCTGTAATTGCTCTTCAAGTAACAGCAATAATTAAATATAAGTTAATTCTTCCTTATTAAGAATCATCTACATGATGTCCTGTAATACTTTCAAAAAATACTCTAAATTCAGTAATGGGTTTTACAATTTTTGAAGAAAAGGTGTATAAATCTACTGGTTTTTCACAAAGTAAATTTTTAAAAATGAAAATACCTGAAAGCACAAGAGATTCACATGATGTAAGGAAGATTAAAAAGAACAGGGGGCTTCCCTGGTGGCACAGTGGTTGAGAATCTGTCTGCCAATGCAGGGGACACGGGTTCGAGCCGTGGTCTGGGAAGATCCCACATGCCACGGAGCAACTAGGCCCGTGAGCCACAACTACTGAGCCTGCGTGTCTGGAGCCTGTGCTCCACAACAAGAGAGGCAGTGATAGTAAGAGGCCTGCACACCGCAATGAAGAGTGGTCCCCGCTTGCTGCAACTAGAGAAAGCCCTCTCACAGAAACGAAGACCCAACACAGCCAAAAATAAAAATAAATAAATAAATTAAAAAAATATATCAACAAATAATAAAAAAGGTTCGCAATGTGTTGGCATAAGGCACATGGTATGCAAATAACCAAGCCAAACCTTTACATTAGCAGAGCATACTGTCTGTATATTCTCTGAAAAAATGTTTTGAAATGCTCAGAGCTGCTAGACAACACATGGCCTCACCATATTGTTGTCAAAATCTGAGGCACGGCTCGGCTGTGAGGAGTTTGCTCGCGGGCTATGGCTTTACTATTTTTCTGTGATGCAGTTGTCGTTCAGTGGTTAAATTGCTCTGTTCTGTGCTCCGGTATTTGCATTTACATTACAGACAACAGAGTGAAGGATGGTTCTTATTAGTGAAGCATCTACATTGATTCTTCACAGCTTTGTAGTTTGTATCATGATTAGGAGAAAGTTTCAGCTCTGATGCTGACATACTTCAACATACGTATGGGCCCTTCTTCCGTGTTTACTTGTCAAGATTCTTTATGAAATTGATGACCCAAGAGGGAGAGGACATCCTAAATGCCGTAGGAGCATGATTAACCCCAGAAGAGTGATTGATGGCTAGGTTTGTAAAAGCAACTCCCTCCTGCCCACGTTCCCCAGCCTCTGCTTCTGATCACAGGGCGGTGTTTACCTTCTAGACAGAATATCAATTAAGATACGGAGATTTTATACCTGATGGTTCAGTTAGTTAATTCAGAGAGTACAGTAGATCCTTGACGAGTTTGGATTGAACTTTTGGACAAATTGCAAGTGTCCTTAAGTATATTTTGCTTTGGGGCAAATTCGTGTGCGGGGACCTCACTCACTAGTGGATCAGCTTAGCAGGCTCTTCTGAATCTGCAGCTCAGTGCAGTGGTATCACTTCCTTCTGTTGCTACAATAACAGTCACATGGAAAAGCATATGCTTAGTAGTATTCTCAAATTTTAGCATTCATAAAGCTCTTCTGTCATATTGCTTGTTAAGGTCAAGGGTCCAACACCATGGTACTTCTCTACCCTTATAATTCCAACAATATTTTTGAATAGGTGGATTGCAGTTACATTGAAATGGTTGATAAATTATCTTGCCTTCTAGTTAGTGGTTAAGCATTTTCCATCCCTCCCTGCCTCCTTCCCTCCTTTTCCTTTCTTTTGTTTAATAAGGATTTTGATCTAAACCTGATGTTTTATATTCCACAGAATGTTTCTTAAAGAGTCATGTATATTCTTTTACATTAGTTCAGTGCTTCCATCTCTGTTCTTGTCTGGTACTTACCTTGGCTTCTATTTTCATTGCCATATGTAACTGCAACACCAGTTAGCTGTGTTATAATAATATAACAAAAGTCAGAAAGACCTGAACTGAAAATCAGCTATGAAAACTACCAGCTGAGTTTGCATATACTTAAAACTGTGGGTTAATAGTACCTGTTTCACAAGTTTATTGTACATATTGAAAGAAATAATGTATAACAGTGCTTGTCACAAACGAGGCATACAGTAAAAATGGATAAATGTTAGAAAATGAATTCCGCTAGGCAGGGATCTTTGACTCTTATAGTTCACAAGCACCTAATGCAGTGCCTGGCACCCAGTAAGCACTCAGTAAATGCATGTCATCTGTTGCCATTTTTCTTCTGCAGCTATAGCCCTCACCACAGTGCTCTGAAAACTAAAGATCAATGATGTGCCTATAAAGCATACAATAAAAGGTCTGACACAAAGTAGGTGATTTAGCTAGAATTATATTTTTATAGTTATATCATCAGGCGTATGATTGGTCTGATATAGCATTCTTGGGCAGACATCTTCAGAAAGGCTAAAGGTCTTTTGTTTTGTCCTTCTCAGGCATCCTGTTTTCCTTGGTGGTGATGCTGTATGTCATCTGGGTCCAGGCAGTGGCTGACATGGAAAGCTACAAAAACATGAAAATGAAAGACTGCTTGGATTTCACCCCTTCTGTGCTGTACGGCTGGTCATTTTTTCTGGCCCCAGCGGGGATATTTTTTTCTTTGCTAGCTGGATTACTATTTCTAGTTGTTGCACGGCATATTCAGTTACATCACTAATCAAACTGTTGCCACCAGTATTTTCTTGAGAGATTTTAAAACAGAGCATTTTTTAAAATTTTGTCTCCGTGATCCTAGCATAGAATGAGTTGATGTAACTTTTTAGCTGCTATGTGAATTATCCATTTTACTTGGGATCTTCTCTAATAAGAGGGTCCTAGAATCTCTCCAGACTCCATCTTGCTTCCATCTTATCTAAGTGCTCTCAAGAATCTAGTTTTTTAGGGAACAGGTAACATGGGCCTTCCCTTCACTGCACTTGTTAGAGTTTGTGGGTAACAAAGGCCTGGCAGTAGCAGAAAACAGTCACCAGGGGCAAATCATGATTTGAGTTAAGCGTCCTCCTTGGCATTCACTTCTGCTGCTCTTAAAAAAATCCTTTGGAATCCCATATCTGATAAGAGGTTAATATCCAGAATATATTAAGAACTCCTACAGCTTAACAACAGTAACAGCAACAACAGCAAAGCAAATACCAGATTTAAAAAGGGGCAAAGACCCGAGCGGACGTTTCTCCAAAGATGATGTACAAATGGCCAAAAAACAAACAAAAAAAACCAAAAAGTCCTTTGGAGCTTAATTAAGAACAACAAACAAATGTTGTCAGAGAATTTACTCCATTTCTTCTCCACACACGTAAATATCCACATACACATGTACTGACACCTGTGAGCAGATTATTCATTATTTAAAAATAGACAGCAGTTGTTCTTGTAGCAGGGGCTGCGTGAACTCGCCAGTTACAATGGGTCACAACAAAAACAACATGTACTTTTTCCCCTTCCTTACCAAAAACAAGTTTGGTTATGTAACGTATTCACTTAATTGTGCATATGCTTACATAAATCTTAAACTATATTTAAAAGAAGCAAATCTGTACACCAAATCACATACAGTGAAGATTGGATTTTTATGAACTTAAAGTGGGTTAATTGTATGTGTAATATGGTTGAAAACATGTAAAAACCAAGCGCCTTCACTTTGTACATAATTCTATTCGATATTTTTAGATTTCATTTAAAAATTATATTGCTAATATGTTCAGCATGTGAAAATTTATTGATGAAATGTGCTTTTAATATGCACTCAACTATAAACTTTCGAAATACTTCCAGATGAGGATGATAACAGCCTTGCTTTATTAAAGACCGTGAAATGTGAACTTTTCCCAAGATCTTATGGGTTATAGTTCTGATCATTTGATTCCCTTAACTGTCGTCTCTCCCTGTCTTCAGCTTTACAGCAGGTATGTTAACATTTACAGATCTGCTATTTCCTTTAACCTCTTCGAAGATAACTTTTTGGGGATGGTTGTGGGAATGATTCTTTATTATTCACTAGAGTAGACATTTTGCATATCAAAGATTTTTGTTTGGCACTAATTTTGATTGAAATCAAATCCATCTGAGAAGCCTAGGTTGTATTTGCATTTTGGAAGCCTCCTGACAGAGGAGTTCCCTGTTAGTGAAGGAACAGAGGCCCTGCGTGGTGTGCGGACTGTGTTTCAGGCACAGCATTTTACTCCGCAGCTGTTTGAATACCGAGGGCCTGACTCGGAGGCACATCAAAGGGTGACCACCTAGAAGCCGCTGTAGGATAGAGGCGTTGATGCTTTCACCCCGGGCTCCCATGATGGGGAGATTGCCTGAATCTTCTCTGCACATCTTGTACTTTACATTAAACCTTGTTTCAGTGAGAGGGCGCTCTGGGGGAAGAGCGAAGATCTGAGGTATCTGCAGATCACCAGGGGATTTTAGGGGTTAGTGACAGGGCTTGCGTGTTTAAAAAAAAAAAAAAAAAGACTTCAGGGCCTTAACTGGTCTCTTAAGCCATTTCAGTTTTATCATAAACGTTTTCCTGGTCCTTTCCTTTGTCTTTTTCTGTTTCATTTTTATATTGCTTCATTTATTTCTTTGCTTTTGGCTTGATTATTACAAAAATAATTATGGGTTCTGTTATTCACATTGACTGTGATATTAAGTTGTGGCATGCTATTAAGTTTTCCAGACGACGCTAGATGTATTTGCTTAGTTCATGTCATCTGTAAATACAATTCGTTTTTGTAGAACTTTGGAATGGAGCCTTTTTCTATGTATTATACATCATTTAAATTTCACATGCAAGCTGCTTTTAGTAAAGGTTTGAATATTTGTAGTTTTCAGATGGTTAATCTTACTTTCTAATACTTATGCGACTACCATATATTTATCTTAAGGCAATTGGCTGAATATCTGATGTACATGACACTTTTACACAGATCCACACTTTGGAAGTGTTTCATAGGTGTAATGCATCGGTCACATGAGTTCAAACACATTTCCTGACCTATTTTACCAGCAATCCATGGAAAAAAGGAAGGTGAGTTGTATTTGCTGTGTCAATGAGTAAAATATACTTAAAAATAGCAGATATATTCTCGTCACAGCCTTCTATCTCATTTGGGGTAGTATGTTTCCTTTTATTTCTCTATTTGGTGTATTGATTTATTTTCAAAAGCTTTCAAGTGAAGTGTTAAAAATCTTTTTAAGAGGATTGATTTTGCATCATAAAGTTTCAGTTCAACAAATGAGATATCTTTTTGGTGACACTTCTAGAAAGAGTGAGGAGAGAGGGCAGTGAGTTATGTGCTTGGACTTTGGTGAAGGCTGTGATCTCTCCATACTGTGTTTGCCCAAGGAGTTTAGTTCAGTCGTGTGGCAGGGAGCACAGGAAACTGGCTAGAAAAACCCTCCAGAGACAATGAATGAAGATGTTCAATTTGGGGTTGAGCGTAGGACTTTCAATAATACTATTAGGTGTGCTCTTACTGGTCATTGGCTGCTTTTATGACTAATCTATGAAATGTATTTACTGAATTTGAAGATTAAATCCACTTATAAGAGTATATTTATATGATGGAAGAGGTGTCAGTGTTTGGTAATTATCTGTCATCAACTTTGTGTGTGTGTGTATGTGTGTGTTACATGTATAAGTTTGGATAGAGTTAAAGTGAATAGTGGAAATCAGTATATTTGAGTAGCACATTTTTAAAAAATTCAGTTTCTCAGGGACAGTAATATAGTTGTTTCCCTGGTGGGCTCTATCAGGAATGGCATCTCATATGAAAGAGATGAAATAGAAACTAAATTTGTATTGATTGTCTGAAGGAGTTAAATATATGGAGACATTTTTTCAGTGATGATCAAGTATAGGCAGAGAAATTCCACCAAAATCCTAGGAATAAGGTATGTTAGATACGTTAAAAACCAAGGAGGGTGGGGAAATAGTTAGCATCATACATATTATAATAAGCATAAACTAAACAAAGGGACATTTAATCTGATTGGCAGGGAAAGA